TGTGGATTAAACTTCTCAGCATTTTTGAGTGTGAAAGTAGCATTTCTCTCTGGATCATACATTTTGTTATCCACTAAACCATGGGATTCTGGATACAGACCCTGGAAGTAAGATTTGAATTGATATGCATCAACAATGATTGCTATAGCAACAGTTAGAGACCTCAGGCTGTACACAGTAGAAGACAGTAACACTTGGAGATCCATCAAGTTTGATTCCCTCCAGCTTAGTATTACAATAATGGATTTTAAACAAAGGTTGCTAAAAGAAACTCTGCATGTCTTTGTTAATCTTCCCGCACAATTCCACAGTAGTTTGGAAAGTTTTAGACATTTTTTTATTTCATGTGGGGCAATTGCAAGGCCCAAGAAAAGTTAAAATATTAAGGCTTAATCACAATTTAAAGAAACAAGATTGGGTTTAGAGTGAAAAGAGGCACAAAGAACATGTCAGGCAAACAAATACTGGGACATGATGGTATCTACGCTGGAAACATGGGATTACAATGGGAGAAAGTTATGGAAGTTACTCCTTAGTTATTTCTCCTAATGTAATGAAATAGAATTTTTACAACTCTGATATGCCTTTGAAGAGAAAGCAAGAACTTCAACACACTCTTACCGTAGCAATGCTGTAATGATTAGGAAATGTTTTTGATGGATATACTGGCCTTAGGCTGCGAGTATATGTCCCACATTTTCCTGTCAAGGAAAAAAATTCAATTCCAAATTTATAAATAGTGCACTTTTTCAGATCAAATATTCAGAATGATTTAGAATAATATGGCATTTGCTATATGTTTTTTGCAGCAGCAAAAATAAATATTATGACACTGTTCCAAATGAAATGCAAAATGCCCATCATTCTCATTGCCTTCACATATTTTAGATACTGTTAGAAGTTTCAAATAGAGAACTTAGATTGAATTACTATATCACTAAATTACAGATGGAAAATATTTCTTGTTCTTCTTTGTCAGTCTTCCAAAATAAATAGGTTTCAAATATATTAAAGTATCTTCTTTCTCTAGCATCCCCTTGCTCATACACTTTCATTCTTTAGTGTATCTAAATTTCCATATCTGGAAATGTAATCATTACACAGATGTAATAGTTTAATTTTTTTTTGCTGAATTCAGGCAGGACTCCAGCAAGCTCATTCTTGGGTCTTGAATCACTGCTGCCCATGAAACATCCGAGTCTTATTTGGAGTTTACAAAGGATATGAAGAGTTATGAAAGGGAATACCACTTAATCCTCCTCCCCCCTTATATTTAACTCTGCTTGCTATTGCTCAGATACAGTAAGTACTCACTTAATTTGCTAATAACAGGAAGAAGTTTTCCCCAAGTTTGCAAATATTCTGCTCGGAATCCATCCAAAGAAAATAGTAACACTGGAGGTTTTGTAAATCTGAGTTGAAAAAATTAGGACAGTTAAGGTAAGCACCTGATCATTATTTATTTATTTTCTACATGCTATAAAGGCCTCTTCCTCCATGTGACCATAAGTGTGTGGCAGAA